ACTACCTATGTGGTAGTAGAAATTCTTTCAAAGGTATATTTTGGCAGATACAGGATCTACATATAGATGAAATACATTGTTAGTTTAATACTTTAAGTTGATCTGAGTGATAGAGAAGATGGATCTTTACAGTATTTTGAAACCATGATGACTTGAAGTGAAGCTGCATAGTTTAATATGAATATTATGTAGTTTCAGCTTTACTATACTATATAGCTAAGTAACTCAGCCAAACTAAGAAAATTTATATTTTTAGTAAACACGGTACAATTTTCTTTTAATGAAGGAAATAGAGAGTTTGTCTAAAACCTCATAGTGTTTTAAGATAGATGCTAAAGTTCTTCCACAAAAGCTGTATTGACTGAGGTATTTGTTGGTCTTTTTGTAATTTGAAGTTGACTTCAAGTGTGACCACAGTGGTGAATCAAATATTTACATTATGTATCATAAAACGTGTAATAATTATTTAAATTATTCAAGAACCTGTGTATTAATTGTACTGATTATTATTATATATTTTTCAAAATAGACAAGAATAATTCTATTAAACTGGTGTGCCTGGTTCCTGAGAATGAAGAGACCAGGAGAAGATAAAGTCAGGCCAGTGTGCCAGCACAAGCCGAGACGTTGCAGCTTGACAAGTGTGGAAGTGAATACTGTTAGTGGCCAACAATCCAGCAATGGGAACATGTTATACATTGGCTTCCGAGGCTTGGAAGGGATTCACTGCACACCTACCACAGACTCAGGAGTAATATGTGGCAGGATGACGTGTTCCACCACAGAGGATGAGAACCTTCTACATAACACGCATCACTCTGAGAGTGACTCAGAACTAAGCAAGATTTTGGATGAGTTGCGTTACATTGCGAACAGGTTCAGAGACCAGGATGAAGATGAAACCATATGCAATGAGTGGAAATTTGCTGCCTCTGTCGTAGACCGCTTGTGTCTAATGGCTTTCTCTGTCTTTACTATTATTTGTACTATTGGAATATTAATGTCAGCACCAAATTTTGTAGAAGCAGTCTCTAAAGATTTTGCTTAACCTCACTTTGTGGTACTAGAAATACTTTCAAAGGTATGTTTTTTTTTTTTTTTTTTCTCCAGACTGACCTTTTGTATACAGGTGATAATATTTTTACAGTACTAAGAGGTAATACACAAAGATATACCCACAATTCTTCTTCTTGTGCTTGCAACACATTGCTAAACAGTAACATATTCCAGAGTTAATTTACACTGGTAGGATAGTGGCATGCTTGGCAATGTGGTTATGATGACTAGCACTTATAGGAGGACTCGTGGGAGTCTTTTATCAAATGTTGCCAACACACAGCTATACACGTAAAATTGGATTTGGAGATATAACTTTAAAGATATTCCTCAATAACAATAACTTATAATAATTTTAAAAAAAATACACAGCAACCTGTAGAGGATAGGCATCCTTTGAACCTCAAGATGTTGTGGATTGCTCTGCCAGCATTATGGCTGTAAGAACTGTGACAGATCCATCTGTATAGACTGGGATTGCTGGTTTGACTGTTTTGCCTTTTCGTGGAATTACCCATTCGTATGCCCCTGTTCGTTTAATTGACTTTTCCGCCGAACAAAACTACCAAACGGACGGCCACCCAGAAGAGAAGTGTGCTGCTGGCTAACCTCTTGATCCCAATTAGAACGTCGTGGTTAACCGCAGACACTTCTCAATTAAAACTGAATTCAGGGTGGTCGTCGTTCGTATGTCGACCACGAGGCGGCGGCCATTTTAAACAAGCGAAAGACCAGCGGTGTTCGGCCCAGATTCTATGGAACTGAAAACGGACACTTTTTCCGCCGAACACCGCTGAAGCCACCGACCTCTCTTCTCAGTCGACAAAAGTATACGAACACCGGCTGTTTGGGAGTTTTAAATGCACAAATGGACTTAACCCAGATAGCCTTCCCATGGAGTCAATCACATACCGAAAGACTGTAATAGACTTTGACTCCATGGCGATTGAACTATGCGTATGGGATCTGAGCGCTATTCGCCAATAATATGCACTCAGATCCAGGCTATCTGGGGATATGTGATACGAATGAGAAATGTTCGGCAATTGTAAAGTTATGTATTTTTATGTGTTTTTTGTGTTGTATTTAAAATGGCGATTTGCCACTGTCCTGGGAGATAATTGAATTACTTCTCAATTATCTCCAGGGCAGAGGGGAGGAAACCATGATGCATGCTGGGAATATTATGTGCCTGTATGTCCTGAAATGCCGTATGTCCATCTGCCATTACAGTCTCCCATTTGGTCCCCTAGGGGAGTGTCCACCAACTGGGAGACCTGCATAAATACGGGCGGGTAGCCCACAGTAAACCCAGTTCATGTTCGACCCACAATGCGGAGCTTGGTCTCGTTATTGGGGGGATTTATTACCGACGAATAGAAACTGCTAGATGGGATTATTAGCCGCTTGGGATATATATGTGTTCGGCTACTAGTGGCGATTCGTGAGTTTGGAGTTCGGGAAGTGAAGTACCCGTACGGGTCCCGTTCGGGAGATTCGAGTATTCCCCTGCTTGCGGTTCGTATGATTGGAGTTGATACAAATGCAGCTTGCATTATGGTGAGAGGGGAGGATTCACTAAATGGCGGTTTGTACATTTGATGCCGAGGGTACTGTTACAAGAACTTTATAGGAGATGCAGTCCACAACATTCTGAGTGATGAAGGTTTCCTACATCTGCTGTAGGCTGTGTTTTTGTTCCCTAGGATACTTACATTCCATATGATGACTTTCCTTTAGTTTCAACAGATAGTTATACCGTTCCTTATATTATGATATATAACAGAAGAATAGAACTTAATGAACTTAATCGGAAAGGAAATTGTATTTGCATGTGTTGTACATTTCTTTAAATGTAGAATGTGTGCATCTTATAGAAACACAATCCGATCTATAGGAATACAATAGGGGACACTGATTTTGCAAAAGAAATATAGAAATTGAGAAATGGTTATACTATAAGACATACTATATTTACTAATGAATAGAAAATAACACAGAATTTTATACTTTCAGAGTCAATAAATTGAGTATAGAAGAGTTGATTAAAACTAATATCTGTACAACTCATGAAAAACGCAGTATATCCTTTCTGTTACTATTTATTTTAAAGTTAATTTCACTGTAAAATGCCAATATGTCGTGGTAAGTGAATGATTACAAATGGGCAAACCTTCTAAAATGCTTACATGAACTACGCAAGTCTACTTAATTGTATTGTACTACCTGTCTGCCTGAGGAAACAAAAACAGCCAGATATTTTTCATAGAATAATAAACAATCAATTAATTTGGGAAATATGGCGGTCTGAGCAGTTATCTGGCATGAAAGATAATTTGATCTTACTACTTAGATCCAATAATTGTCAGAGATACCACATTTTCAACCAATTTTATACTACTGTATACTACAGCATTTTTTTGGCCGCAGATGTAAAATAAAGTGTTTAATACCCGGAATTAGTTTGATTTAAAAATGTATTGCACAGATATTTTTGTTTCTTTATGAATCAATTTGCATATGTCAACCTTGGTGTTAATAAACAGCCATATACATGTATAGTGTGATCATCCTTAATTCATGTCTTTGACTCATATATCCTGAATGTCATGTAAAGGTACTGTAAACCCACTAGATACCCTTATCTAATTTCAGGTACTGATTTTACAAGGTCTTAGTGGGTAATAGCTAAAATTATAACCCAATCAATTAGTTAATTAGCTTAAATCATTGTTGGGAGCCAAATGTTCCTGTTTTCTATTGCTCCCGAGGATGTAGACTAATGTGTATATTGGGAGTCAGTTTGGATGAGACCTGGGAAGCTCCCCCGGGTCTACATCATCTTCACACAACACAAAAGTACAAAGAGCAATTGTGGGTCTAAAAAAGACCGTTTCCATGGAAACAATATACGGTCCATGTGTGCTTCATTCCATGGTGTTTTTGCAACAATGGCTACAGAAACCATGACCGTTAAATCTAGTTGGTATTCTTTATAAGTATCATTTAAATGGCAATAAAAACGATCTGCTTGATGAGAACAAATCTATATCTTTAGATAGGATACATGTCTCACATAAATCAGTAATATCTATGCAAGCGTAACCTTTTATATGCTCATTGAATTATCAAGGAAAGAGATGAGAATATGATGTGGTCCCAATTTTATTCAAATCAAATCAAATATAATGGCACCTTTTTGCAAGAATGGTCATGCCATTTATTAACTGCATTAATCTTTTGGTGACACAATTATCTTGCATTAATCAATGCATGTCATGTCTATACTATAATCTTTGTGTTCTCTTTCAGCTAATGGCTGACGTGCAAAAAATATATATATAGATATACTTTATTCAGCAAATATGTTCTCATTCATCATTAAATACTCTTAACTATTTTATTGTAATTTTTAACCAATCTGGTGGAAAGTCAGTCAAGTAAAACTATCAAGCCAACAGTTGCAAATCCAATACTAATCTAGTTCTGCAAAGTATATCTATTATTTGTCTTAAATTAATATTTAGTTCCAAATCTCTGGGCAACTTTGTACTGCTGTAATAGCATTCTTTGGTGTAAAGTGTCTCCTGTAATTTACACTACCTGCAACTACCTTAAATATAAAATGCATTGTTTATGTGTTTTGTCTTTTGTTTTTTAAAGTGTATTTTATTGAGTTTTACATACGATAAAAATGTCAGACATGTGTTACAGACTTTAGCCAGTGAAGCACCTACATAGAGAATGCCTCCTTGGGGACGCTTATGCAGTACATATGAACATGTATAAACCAAAAAGAAACAAAATACAAATAACATTGTCAATCCCTTTAGACAAGTCAGGTAATAAGTCAAAGAGAATTGGTAGCCCGCCAAAAAGGAGGTGAGATATCTTAATTAGGCCCTTATTTTTACATGGTCAGAGTGTTAACCATGGGGAAACATGTAACAGCGCTGATAAAGGGGCAACATGTTTACATTTGTCTGGAGCTTCTAACATACTAACCATTGAGTCCCAAACCAGAAGTGATGCCTTGCAGTTGGGTATAGTTTGTCTTGCCACTTTGAGGGGGTTCATAAATAGGCCATGAGGGACACATTGAGAAGCTGAGCCTGTTCCACATCCACGCACTTAAGTGTTTCTGGGGATGTGTGTAAATTGACAGTATGTGTCAAAAGTGCTGTCCTGTAATATTCCGATATCTGCGGTATTTCCATACCTCCCAGGGCCACCGGACGCTGGAGCAGGGCTTTGGACAAGCATGCCCTCTTGCCATTCCAGATAAATGAGGAAATGAATGACTGGACTTTCCTGCAACTTAGAAATATATATCGAAAGCATATGTAAAACATAAAAATGTTTGGGTGAGACAATAATTTGAAAGCTTTTATATGTCCAGCCCAAGATATTTTAACATCTTTCCACGTGAAATATTCCTCTAAGTAGACTTTCTCATTCGTACCTTTGTCTAATTTATTTGCCTATGTCATTGCACCAACTGCAGACTGCAAAAATTGAGGGTTGGTCATTCAGAAGAAATTTAAAAAAAATTAAATTAAAAAAGCCAACATCTGTACAATTACCTGAGTGACCAAGACACCTCAGTATGGTGTTCCAGATAAGACACATAACTCATGGATGTGTTGGTAAATGGATCTAAAGGCTTCCAAGAGAGAGAGCCTTAGGGGAAGTCCAAAATCTCATGGAAAGCTTGATTTAAACTGCAAGTATCAAGGCCAGCTGGCTTGTACTTGGGGTTGTGAAGTAAAGATTCTAAAGTAAGGGTGTGGCTAATGGTCCTTGGGCAGCCATCTATTATTTTGTGCAAGATGTATTACAGCAAGAGGCAGGACATTGTATCTCTCAAAGCAATAAATTGAGCATTGCATGACTTTAGAGATGGTTAGTTTGCCCCTGTGAGTTGTACGTTTGTGTCCCCATTATTTAGTTATTTTTAGACCTTAACCTCCCAAGCTTTTTTATTTTTGAACTCTGTATTTGATGTGGTGTATACTGATTAAGCCCCATGTCTGATCTAAAATAAAACCTTGTTTTAGTGTTCAAAGTACCCTTCACCATTAAATACCCATCAATGAAAAATCAAAAATACTGTTTAATGTTATATAACTCATAGGAAAGATCCCCATGTAAGTAACCCCCAAAAGGGGAAAATCTCACCCATTTCATATGGGACCACCAATTGGAAGTTGCTACTCATTGTCAGTCCTTGGTTATGCATGCAGGGGAAGATGGCAAAAGCCCCTGCCAAGGTTTACCCTCGGGGGGGGCAAATGGATGTGCCAGATTTCCAGAATTTTGCAACCATTGTCAGGGATGAGGATCTGTTTCTCCACTCAGTTCTTGTGTACAAACAATTTAGTGGAGAGACACCACTTATACATGAACTTCTGCTCCCATAGAGTTTGAGTAAATGGGCCCAAATGCCCTGCTTTTCATGCTTGGTGAAAGGTCAACAAACACTGAATCCTCTCAAATCTGCCGGCTAGACATCCTGGGGGCTGGTAGATTCATTGGTTTTGCCATGCAGTGCACTCTGTCAAGCAGCAAATCTTGGTCCGCCACTTCAGGTACGATATCTGTAGGACGTATTCTTTTAAACCTGGGGACCTGACCTTCTCCAAACCCCACGCAGACCCTGTCCTCCAGATCTGTCATTTTGGCATCCTGCTGTCGCAATTTGGTGTCAATGGTGGTATATGCAAGATAAACTGATCATGCATTGTAACCTAAGCATATACCTAACGTTTGATTGGTAAAGAGTGTGACCTCAGAATCTTGCCATGGGTCTGTCGAGCCTCTCCATTTATTGACCTGGCATTGTTTAAAAGGCAGGAATGTTTGCATATGATGTGATGCTATGTCTGTTGCAGTGGGCAAGATGTAACAGTACATTTAAGGCATCAAGTGTTGTGGGAGTACTAAGTGGAATCTGTGTTATCAAGTACCAATTCCTGCTCCCTGAACCACCAGAAATATGTCTCCTTCTTCCAAGATTCACAGTTAGAAGGGTACTGAAGACTGAAGGAGAATTTCCTTGACACTCTTGGTTTATTCAATAACTCTAAATGTGAAGCAATGGAAGGGTAAATTGAGATTACTGTTCATATGAAACGTTTGTGGGTAGGTAGATGGGGATAAAACTGTTTCCTTAGCAGGACCTCATGATCAGAGAAAAAGCCTAGTGCAAGCCACATATAGTTTTCAACCTATGCAAATGCTAGCCATTCCCATTGCATAATGTATAGGTAAAGTACTTTGCTAATTAACACATGACTTTTAATACTTTGTTGCTGTTTAATTATAATCCAGAACCTAGATTACACGATAGGTAGTCAAAATAATATATTTTTATAGTGATCTGATAGCAATGTAAATTATGTTTGCATAAAATCCCCTATCTTCTCTTATTAAGCCTGGTTTTATTAAAAATAAAATAGTTTTTCACTGTTGTAAAATGTAATGGGATCATGTTTCTAAATCTCAGCCTCCCCTGCCTTCATTCTAACAGGTTTATTGATACTTGGCAGTGCGATCTATCACATCATTGGGATTCTGCATTCAAATGAATCCACTCATCCGTATTAGCTGTATGAAGACCGAAAGCTTGACAGTTCTCTGATTCCATTGAAAGTGAGTCATGGTTTCAAATTAGAACAGAAAGCAAGGTGTTTATTCAATAAACTGGGTAACATAGCAATTTGAAAAGAAAAAGTGCACATTTTAGGTTAAAACAGCAATGCTTTTAAAATGGGATTTTTCCACCTTGGCTATTTTGGTCTAAAATGTTCAATATTCTTATCATTTATAATGGGTGTACAGTGTTTAATGGTAATAAGTAAACATTCTATTTTTTTGTTTCATGTTTTTTTTTTTTCTCTGCCTTTGTTGAAAAAATTACAAAGGGAATTTTAATGTTGTCAGTACCTAAATTGTGGATCCACATGCAAAATTAAATTTGGTCCATAAAGACCCATATAACCTCCTTTGTCCTCCTGTTATGACTTTTATACTTAAGGCGACCAGTCTGCAAAATCTCTATTGCAACCCTTTGAATCTGTGCAAGTGGGTTAAAATTGACAACATCCACCCCACATACATTAAAAATAAAGCTTTCAAAAAACAAAACGCAATAATTTGGTTCCAATAGTCAAGGAGGTCAGAGTGGCGGGGGGCTCTAATGTCCCTATCATTACAGAATTTAACACAGGTTGCTCTAATAGGTTATGTCCTGTAAAAATATATGCTAACGTTATATAACCAAAAGTACTTTGAAGTGTTAAGATATGTGCCCCCTCCCATTACAAATTTCGCTCAGACTTGGGTTAAAATTATTTCTTCAAAAATTTTTGTTTAGATGCTAGCGTTCCAAATTACGTAATGTGTTTCAGAATAACAGCAAATCAGTTTTGTAGTTTACCATAATTTTATGTGAATAGTTTAGTGTTTGAAAAATGAATTTCTATAATATTTTGCAGCTGCGGTCCTTGTATTGGTGTGATGCAATGTACATCTGAGCTGCAATTTTCTTTTAAAACAGCATTTATCCTGTATTCATGCTTAAATAGTCACCCTGTATTTGTGTGATTTAAATAAACACATTTTACCGAAACAGTCTGTTTTGGTGTTCTGTAAATATATTTATGTAAAAATTCATATCTCTCTGTCCTTATGTTTTACACAATCTCCCCTTTGTGGGACTATATGATTTTTTTTTATTTGCTATGCAGCTTATCTAACAAATGAAATGAAGCAATTGGTTATTAATACGCACATGTAGGTAGTTATTTCGCTTGCATTCACTATTTTATTCCTAAACGTGATTTAAAGAGACCCTGCTTTGATTTAAATGGTCACACTTAAAACGGGCAACTGGAATATGTGAACATAAAATATAGCTGCGCAAAATAGCATATCTGTAGCTTATTACTTTCCTGCCTATATGATTAACTGTGTATTGCTCAAAGTGCTTGATAAAAAAAAAAAAAAATATTAAAGCTGATTAGAATTGGAATTATATGATTAGAATTTTATACATACACAAAAATGAGAAGTCTACCGACTCTCATCTTGTCCCAGGACGCCGAAAAGGCCTTCGACAGGATAAAATGGCCATATATGCTCGTACTGACACAACTAAAATTCCCAGAGACATACATCACGGCTATTAGAGCCATGTATACTAATGTCACAGCACAAATCAGGATCACAGGAGCCCCTAACACGCCCTTCTCACTAAGCAATGGGACAAAACAGGGATGCCTTCTGTCCCCGCTACTATTCATCCTCTCCCTCGAACCACTATTGCACACCATACACACAAACCAACTGATACAGGCTATCATGGTGGGTAGACAGAGATTCACGGTGTTGAGTTACGTGGACGATGTTCTGCTCACCCTCACACACCCCAAGGAATCAATGGAAGCCTTGGCATATGAACTAAAAGAATATGGTGCGCTCTCGGGCTATAAGGTAAACCTGAATAAATCCAGCGTACTTCCCATAGCTTTGTCGGTGGCGGACACGGCACATATCAGCGACAAACACTGTATACACATAGAACATAAGGTGCTAAAATATCCAGGCGTTCAGTTGACAGCCGACCCCAAGCTGATGTACACCACTAACTATGTACCCCTCTTCAGGACCTTACAGAGAGATCTTGATAGGTGGGTAGACAAGTCATGGTCCATTGGATAAAGATGAACATATTGCCCACACTGCTGTTTTATTTTCAGGCCCTATCGATACCTATCACCAAGTCTGATTTGCCACCTCTACAAAAAGTAGAATAGGAGACTTTATCTGGCAGAACAAGAGACACAGAGTCTGGCATAATGTCCTTTACAGACCTAAAGAGGGGGGCGGCCTAGGCCTTCCTAACCTATACTATTACTACATGGCAGCACAGTTATCCCAGATAGCAATGTGGCACTCTACACCAGACAAGCGCAGATGGGCAGATCTAGAATCTAGCATGATGGGAGAGGGGATGTGCGCAAGGGGGCAGGAGAGGCAGGGGAGAGGGGATCTGTGCAGGGAGTGGGGCTGTCAGGAAGGCAGGGGGATCTGTGCAGGGGATGGAGGGGGAGAGGGGTTGTGTGCCAGGGAGGCAGGGGAGAGGAGATCTGTGCAGGGGGGCTGTCAGGGAGGCATGGGGATCTGTGCAGGGGAGGCAGGGGAGAGGGGTTGTGTGCAAGGGGAGAGGGGATCTGTCAGATAGGCAGG